ACTCATACTTATCTTGCTGTGGATTGATTGTGTAAATATAAACTCTATCGTAGTTAAAATTATCACCAAGAAGCAAGTTCATAAGCAAATTTGTTTTCCCCGATCCAGTTCGCCCAACAATAAGATAATGACAATCAGGAAGTTCATTGTTATGTTTATGCTTCACTAGTCTCTCTGTATCAAAGTTTAGTATCGACGATTTTGCCATTTTGTATAATATTAAACTAGTGTTGATAATTTTATCTAGGATAGTAAATAATGAGCTACTATACAAAATTTGGAACACTATTAGAAGATTTATCCACAAAACGTTTTAAAGGTGACTTATCCAAATATGCAACTCTTGATCGGCTCAAAAATGAAATCAATAATTTACTAAATCTTACCAGCGTAGATCCAGATGAAGTTGTCATTTTCCAAGACAAAGAAGGACGATTAAAGACGAGTAATGTAAAACTGTCAGATGTAGTTGTACGAAATACTGCTGCGATTGCTAATAATATCGTTACTTTTAACAATCTAGGTAATATACAAGATTCTGGTAGGTCAGTTAATGATTTTGTTAAAAAAGATGGTGATGTATTTAGTGGGAATATTGTTATGAAACAAAATAAGATTACAGATCTTGGAAACCCAACTGAGGATGGGGATGCTGTCACTAAAAAATATGTCAATGATTGGGACGCTTTAATTACTAATGAAATCACAGCACTCAAAAATAATTTTACCAGTCACGTGAACACATTTTCAAGTTTTCGCAGAAGCATAAACAAAATTAGAGATGAATTTTTTGGAAATCCATCAAATGTTGACATTACACTCGCTAATATTAACACAAAATTTAATGATATTAACACAGAACTCAATGATATTATTAGTGGAATTCCAAATATTGTTGAGAAAACGAGTATGGTTAAAATTCCTCACAAACAGATTAAAAATATTGTGTATACTGTTGCATCTGGGTCTAGTACATGGACGAGGCAAAATAATTCTATCAAATACACTGCAAAAGTTACTGGTATGTATAGATTGTCAGTGTTTAGCAGTGCAAAGTTTAGAATATCTACCAAATATCCATTTCGTCATCCAAATGATGACTCATCTGGAGTATTATCTGTAATAATAAACATAAATTCTGAAGAAGAATTTGTACTTGAACCAGTTGATAAAACTTTACAATTAGCGAATTTTCTCTGGTGTTTGGAATTTATAGCTGAACAATAACCAGCTCTTATTATGGATTAACCAAACATAGGACTATGTGAACTAATATTATAATGAAAAGAAGTATAGTTGATTTCAATCATATTTCAAAAGATATTTCAGAACAGGATGTGGACGCATTAATACAATATTATAAATATTATCATAGAAAACTTTGGTGTGTGAAAAAATGTTACAAATACTACAACAAGATCCTTCGAGTAATATCTTATCTACCCTTGTTAATGACTAGTTCTGGTATAATTTCAAGTGGGGTATCATTAAATCCCTTTTTGTTAATCATATCCGCTATTGGTGTTTCACTTACAGCGGTGTGTAAAAAAGTAGAACCAAGACTTTTGATAAAGAAGCACGGTTGTTTAACATCAATTAAAACTTACAAGAAACTACTTGATCACATCCGGTCTTACCTACGAGGAGTTAAATATAATATGGATGATTTATTACGTGAATTTCGTATTATTGACAATATGTTAACAGACATTCTACCAATGAGGGTTAGCAAGTATGAAAAAAAATATCATAAAAAATATGAGTAACATAAAATTTTATCTAAACTTAAGATATAATATAACTAAAATAATATCATTTTCATTCTAATGCTAGTTTAATTTCCACCTTGTTAACTGAAACGTTCTAACACACAGTTTAATTTTCATCCTGTTATCTTGTGGTAAAACCTGTTTGCCGTCTTTAGAATAATTGTATTCCACACATGCGCTGTTCTAACAAATTAGTCACCTCTGTATCAGAGCTTATCGCATTCCAACACCTGTTGTTTTGTTTGGTTACAAAATACCTGTTTACAGGTAGTAGTAGGGGGAAAAAAAAGAGGTGGGGGAGGGTGAGTCAAAACCCTGTTTTATTTTGGAAAAAAAAGGGGGTGGGGTGGGGGATAATTTAGGACTATAATTTATACTTGTTTGGAGGGTAAAAAAACAAAGTGAGTTGAAAACCTGGTTTTCCTCTAGGGTGAGTTAAAAACCTGGTTTATTTTGGAAGAAAAGGGGGTGGGGTGGGGGATAATTTATACTTGTTTGGAGGGTAAAAAAACAAAGTGAGTTGAAAACCTGGTTTTCTAATACTACTAATAATCATGTCACTGATGTATATTATGTTTCATGATATAAATTGAGTTTTAAAGATTTTTGAATCAAAGTTTCTTTGTCATAACACTTAACTAAAACAAATGGCATCCTCGTACTGTTCAAGTTTTCATACGCATTATTAAAATGATTGCAAGTATATTTTTTACTATTGCGATAGCGATTTTGTTTTGTTTTTGTTTTCGTGGTTGATGAAAATAATCTTTACGAACACTCATCGGCCTCAAATATCGAGTTTAGCACATCAGTTATTACCCGGAAATCTTGATATTGCATCCCAAACTGGCCATTGTACCGTTTCGATGTACTCTCCGATCGTTTTCAAGGTTATGCATAAGTCTGGAATCCTGTGATGCACATAAATGGTAAAATATAACTTTTGTATCAAGTACATAATGCGTAATACGACGTATCACGTTGAAAGTGTTTACTACATAGATACGTTTAGATTGACATGATAATACTGTGAGAAAATAAAAGTTCTCTTTGTCAAGTGTGCTGACTATACCGCCAATCTTCATGTACAATAGACAAATATTTCCATGTATACACAGTGTTTAAACCTGGGAAAACCAAATCACGAAAGATAGGGTTATCGACATATTACAAAACCTAGAACATCATGCATATGGATCTATAATAAATATAGTAGATAAAACTGTCAAGAATACAATTATTGTAACAGAGCTATATTCGGGACATTATACCTTAATCGACAATATTAATACACCGCTGGCTACTCAATCAAGCTTTCCGTATGTACTTATATTCGTTTTACTGGCTTCGCTGACGTAAGCTGAAACGGCACGTTTGCTTTGACGTCTCATTTCATTACTACTGTCATGGTAACATAATGTAATAATTCTCTATGCAATAAAACAATCTTACAATTCTTGAAAGAGAGTCGAATCAATTATTTATTTCTCAGCGTATGTCAGACACAAAAGAATTCTTGTTAGCAAAGAGATCATGACTATTGCATCTAAAATCAAGGGTTTTACTCGTTCGCAGTGTTGACTCGTATCTATGCAAATATTCTTTATGCTTTATGTATTAGAACATTGGAGACAGCGAATGGAAAAAAGAGGCACTGAAATATGTTGTCGCTACAACAGAAAGACGCTTTGCTTCATCTCCTATTTTTGCGAGCAAAGCGTCCCTCCATTTATCTAAAACAAATTTCTGTTATTTAATGCAAGTACACCGTATAAAATTATCAACCTGAACTGTAAGTTTTACGTCAGAGGTAATTTGATTATTACTTCAGATGTAATTGGCTTACACGTGACATTGATTATTGACAGACATAAGCTGGAAATCAACACCCACTGTGCGATATCTCAAATTAATAAACCTTAGTAGACAGCTAATATAAGAATTCTATATGGATATTTTACGTGCTTAACGTGGGTTTAGATAATAAAGTCTCCATCAGTTACAGCTCTCAACTTGAAGAATCTACCGGCTGAGTGAATGCAGGGGCACGCGGTAAAACATAAAAGTAATATATTAATTAGCTGGCGGTATCGTTTGCTCCCCATGATTTAATCAATGACTGTTAAAATGAAATACATTACACCATATTCAAAAGGAACGTGTTGCTTCAAGACCGAGGAAGAAACAGCGATCATTCTAAATATACATAAGCTTTGCCTCTGAGATACTTTGTAAGATTTTATTTTGTAAGACTTTACTTAACTAGTTTACTGTGTTATACACGGAAAATGGGCTTACCGTAATTGATACAGCAATCTTACAGTAGTCTATCAATCAAGACCAGTTTCTCAGGTACGAAACAGTATAATATTTATAAAAAAATAAAATGAAAATTTACAATGTCTAGCAAAGGTAAAAATTAAGTCTATACTCCGTAAAATAGTTGCCGTAAAAATTGTTTGAAAGGTTTCAGAAACTACAAATTTTGAAATTATAAAAAGCATTTCATGCTGTTATTAATTTAATTGCTGAGTTTTTACCAAAAGATTCGTATTCTGCCTGTGTCCGTTTGTGAATCTTAAACTATTTTTACCAAAATAATCATTTCAAGAGAAATCCATGAGTATATTTGATAGAGAGAGAGAGAGAGAGAGAGAGAGAGTGTGTGTGTGTGTGTGTGTGTGTGTGTGTGTGTGTTGGCTCTAATTATACGGTCTATTTTCAACAAACTATACAAATTACTTGTACAGTCTCTTATTAAAATTAAAATATAAATACCTCATACAATCTATTTTCCATATGACAACAAAATGTATCGTACAGTCTATATTTCATCTGACAACCCAAATATCTTCAACAGTCCATCTTTCGTATGACAAAACAAATATCTCGTGCAATCTATTTTTATATGATAAAACAAATACACCGTAAAGTTGATCTTTCATATGAATATATAAATACCTTGTACAGTTTTATCTTCATATGACAACACAAATGCCTTGCGAGTCTATTTTTCATATGACTATACAAATACCTTGCACAGTCTATTTTTAATTATTACAAATTATTACAAACACCTTGTGCAGTCTACTTTTCATGACAATACAAATATCTTGTACAGTCTATCTCTATCTTTCATATTAGAATACAAATATCTTGTACGGTCTATTTTTCATATAACTATAAATACCTTTTACAGTATTTTTCATGACCATACAAATACCGTGGACCGCTCCGGTTGCCAGTGGTTAGAGCGTCCGCCCCAGATGCGGAAGGTCATGTGTTCGAACCACGGCTGAGCCATAACAAAAACTTCTAAAAATGGTACTAACAGCTGCCTCGCTAGGTGCTCAGTATTAAGAGGTTAGTGCTAGGACTGGTAGGCCTGGTGTCAGGATAATGTGACTGGGTGGGACATAATGCTACATGTAGTGCAGAATGATGCCCGAATGCTAAACATCACTTTGAAGACATCACTTTAAACTGTCACACTGCAGACATCGTAGCGATATGATTAAACAATTATTAAAGCTACGTTAAAAATCTAAATTAACCCCATCACACACACACACACACACACACACACACATATACGAATACGTGTGCAGCATTTTTCATATAAATATACACCTTGTGCAATCTATTTTTCATATGACTCTAGAAATACCGTATACAGTCCATTTTTCATGACAAGACAAATACCTTGTACAGTCTAATTTTCACATGACTATACAAATACCTTACTCAGTAGAGTTACCGTAGGGACTAAATACAAAATTATCCACACACTCTTAAAAATAAATTCTGTTTGACAAAACATGCTTCATATTTTCCATGCGTAAATCAGATGGTTTTGACAATTATTGTTTACATTTTTCAAACCATGTCTCCTAAATTCAGTAGAAATCTATACTTTTGTCCGTGTATATGATCCTTTTTCTAACGTATATAAGGAAAAGCGTCATACAATACATAAATTGGAAAAATGTAATTTACTATTTTTGCGAGACTCATTTTTGCTGATTTTCTTCTTCTCTAGAAACATTACACCCCACCCACGCCCTCCCCCTCTCCTTCAATCCGTATATTTAAGTACCGTCGAAACCATCATTTCAGAGAACAGCGAAAATGAACACCTACAAACATTAAATTCTTCCCAGTATATAAAATCAGTGCTTAGAATTATTAAATTAATTAAAATGCAGTATTGACTTTTAAAGTCTGATAAATGCACCAGGAATGAAAAATATCCCTATCAAAAAACACTAATTTAGTTTTTATTGGATAAAATAGTTTTATTAGTTGACATTTATCCCTGCAAAAATGGAAACGTTGCAAAGACATGCTGGATTTACAAATTGCCCAATCATTCCATAGGAAATATAAAACGTGATTGATGAACATCAATTATATTGATAATCTACCACATGGTCTTAAATTCAAGTCATGCGGATTCTATGTTAAAATTTACACAACTATTTAAATGATCATGTAGATCATTGCATTTTATAAATCGTTCTCTATCAAATTTTAGACTCCAAATATGTAGGATCGTTGGATAATATATGAAAGCATCAAATCCTAACGAAACGTTTTGTACGACAATTATGATCGTTGGATAATATACGAAGGCATCAAATCCTTCACGAAATCGATAACGATGTAACCATTCGATAGGGAAATATAATAGTATTAACTTTTGCTGTGCCCCAAGGTAAAGATTTTTGTTTTTTTTTTTTGTACTTTAAATATTTTAGATATTTCTTAGTAACAGTATGCACATAATTTATTGTTAAATCAGCATGCTGCGATGTAGAAAAGACGTTTATTGCGTGTGTAAAGCTGTTTATGTAGCCAAATAACTTCAAAAGATGACCTGTTTAATTTCTTGCACTATTCTCTTTCAAACGCTCACATAAAAACGTCTCGTATCCCAAATATAAAGTTTTTAAGATCAGATATTTCTAATTTCAGTGCATGACAACGATCCAGCTTTGACAGTGGCTTGTAAAGGGAAGAACACATATGATAAAATATAGTTGAAAATGTTGCGCTCGCTATTAGTACAAAACTTGGGAACAAAAAGGATTCAGAGTCCTCCAGTAGCAAAATAGTTTCAGAAACTATGAAGCGTGGGAGAATGGGGAGAAATGAGCCATACATGAAATTAGAGGCAAATATAAAGCTGAATTACTCACATTTTTAATATTCCACAATGCAGCTTGAAACGATGGTGGTTGCATTATTTTGCCTGTCTGCCCAGTATGATAGGAAATAGGTCCATAAACATCCGTTGTACAGTATCCTTACGATCAGGAATAAGTCAACACAATGTAATAAGCGTGTGCACAACTGACCCAAGGCGATTAGAAACAAAGCGAAACTTTGGTCAGACACTCAGCGCAAAGTGTAATCAAAGAAAATGAATGAACCAATTTAAACGCAACCTTTACTAGAACAGCGTGCAATTTTGTCAGAGTCAAACAAGGCGCTAACAATTTGATGGTTTCACCACTCGTGTGAGATGTGCGGCAATATACAGGAGGGAAGGCGTTAAAGCAAGTTACTTGTTTGCCGTGATTTACTTAATATTCAAATCCGCTTGTCAGTCTGGGATCAATATTCTGTTGATTGAATACAATGGTATGGATTGCAGAAGCAGCCTCGAAGTGCTAAGTCAGAGAGAGAGAGAGAGAGAGAGAGAGAGAGAGAGAGAGAGAGAGAGAGAGAGAGAGAGAGAGAGAGAGAGAGAGAGAGAGAGAGAGAGAGAGAGAGAGAGAGAGAGAGAGAGAGAGAGAGAGAGAGAGAGTACTTGACTTGATTTATTTTAGTTAAGCGTTATTTTAGTTTACTTAGGCGTGGGCACAAAGCACGAGATCCCTTGTTTGGCTCAACCACAGAATACAAAATCGTGTTAAAAATACGTGAAAGAATCAGAAGAAAACGAAACTGAAATTAAAATTCGCTAGACCGTATTCAAACACTACTTTCGATGACTGCAGATACACGAATAAAGCTACTAAGGTGTTAAAGAGTTTATAAAATGTATGTCAAATGTTAAAAATGAATTCCATACAACTGCTGTAAATTATGAAAGCCCAACGCTTCCATTCTAGGAATAAGTTTAATCAATACAAAATCACATATCTCACAACTTTTAAACTGCCAATCAACCACACATTTGCATGGTTTCTCTGCATCAAATTTCCTACCGTCAGCATTTCATGCCGTTAAACTACACAGCTTCCCTTAACACAGGGATCTTTTTTTACTACGTCACTTTAGTTCAGTAAAGTTATGGTTTTAAGCCACAATTCGCCTGTAAAATTGCATCACATCTGCCACCATTGCGACAGAAACGGTACCTGCCGACGACGCAACAGCACCTTTTCTTGTTGATTCCATTGTGTAATTTAACAGTCTCCAATCATAAATACTGGACCTACAGTAACACAACCATTGTACACCACTAGATTTTAATAGGAACTTCGAAACGACAGGGACACTCATGCGGCTCTGACCTGAATTCATGAAACGTAAACCATGGCATCATGGAAACTCACTAACACTTCACTCCGTGACATTTGGTCCTTAAAATCTGCTAATATTTTCGGGCTAAGGAATATTTCCTTAGGATCTTGTTCCCATAATCAAATAAATAATCACAAAATCTAAGAACTCCTTAAAACGGGGTGCTATAATCAAATGCGCATACTCTCTCTCTCTCTCTCTCTCTCTCTCTCTCTCTCTCTCTCTCTCTCTCTCTCTCTCTCTCTCTCTCTCTCTCTCTCTCTCTCTATATATATATATATATATATATATATATATATATATATATATATATATATATAAACACCATGTATGATGTATGAATATCTATTGCAACAAATACGCAAAATGTTAATTTAGATACCCTTTCATACCCCTATGAGACTTCTGTCATACCCCTATGAGACTTCTTTTATACCCCTATGAGACTTCTTTCATACCCCTATGAGACCCCTTTCATACCCATATGAGACTTCTTTCATACCCCTATGAGACCCCTTTCATAACACTTTGATGCTTCTGTCATACCTCAGTTGTCCCTGAGGGCATCATTTTACCAGATTAAAAAAAATATTTTAAATGGATACTTAATTCAGGCATTAAATACCGTTCCATACCATTGTCCTGCAACATAATTTGATGTTCTTGTTCACACTGGCATTAAAAACGTACTGTGAAACATAAATCTACTACACGCAACGTGGATACTTCACGTAAATTGCATACATAAAAATAAAATCTAATTAATGATTTTCGTTGAAAAGATGCTTGTAAGATTCTGACTGAGGTTTCAAGGTTACTTCCTTATACAACTAGTGGCTTTTATACTGAACCAATGCTACAAGCAACCCTTCCTTTTTGCATTCACTTTTTACAAAAAAAGGAACTATTTTGAACATTTTCCCCGGACAAAGCGGCTAAAGGAATCAGTATATACCTTATTCATCTTAAAAATTCATTAATAATATAACAAATTAGCATACCATTCATTACAACTCAACCATCTAGATATTTAGATATTTACCTCTTTAGCAGACATATGTAACTACGTAAGCCAAGCCGGCTGCTCATTTGTAGCCCAAATTACGCATTGATCTCCAATGTTAGTCTAATTGTGACAGGTAGTCACCAATAGACCAACCAATTTTCAAGCCTAACTCAATGCAAATGTAAACCAAATTACAGATTTAGATTGTGTGTGAATTGATAAATTCTAGGGTTGTGATAATTAAGCTCATGCCTTCTACCTAAACATATGGGGTGGATAGTTGTCAAAATACGAAACTATCCAGTAAGACCTTAAAAGAGATAATTCACTCAATATACATCATGGGAGATGTGATTTATCCTTTAGAAGAACTCAATTAACTGCACGTTTCAGATTCATGCATGCCGTTATGAACAAAATCAACTTACAGGGTATATATTTACCTTCACAGCAGAATGTTTAATACTTTTATACGCATTTAACACAAATATAATTTCGCATTAGCCTAGAGAATCTAACGAAATCTTAAACAACTATAATATATACTACGTCATAACTGGAGATATTTTAAATAGAATAATTTAATACATATTAACGGCCTAAAAACCTGTGACAAGAGAGAAAGAGAAAATGAAATTTCTGATGATGAAGCAAGTAGAAGATGACGGATATGTAGCAGAGAAATCGTGGAATAAAATCGTTGAATAAATGATAATGAATACGATGTAGTCCTGCAAAGTATAACTCCCAATCAGAACGAGATTAT